ATGGTCACTTTATGAATGCTAGCATATTTTCAAGTCTACCAAGAAGTAGTTACTGTTTTCTTATTTTTATACACGAGGAAGCAGGAGCACTGAGATGCTTGCTTAGCTTGGGCTTCTCTTATTGAGTGAGGTATAGCTTCCATTCATATTCAGATGAGCTGAAGTCAGTCTGTGCACTTACGTTTCTTGTGATGGTTATTCTTATGATCAAAGGTAAGAATCTCATCTCTAAGCAAACAAATTATTGATTTTAAAAAGTATATGATTTATATGCATTATACACATCATTATCAAACTGTGTATGTTGACTCCGTCTGATTTTATTCAGAGATAAAAATAAGCAGTTTTGCCCTTATGCTTTGAGAAACACCTCAGTAATTGAGATGTAGTTCTTATATGTGATTTGTGCTCAAAGCTCAAACAGCTGGATGGCTTCTGAAGAATTTGTTATTTAATATGAATATCAAGTGTAAGTGGTGTAAATCTGCCTTGTCTCCACACTTCCATATTTCAGTTCCCACAAGTCGTCAATTTCACGGAAGCCTGGTAGGGTATTGATGTGTTTGTTCCCTTAACTTCTCACGTCTCTGGTCCTGTTGTGTCTCCTGCCAGAAGTTACCCGGGGTCTTTCTCTGCATTTCCCCCCATTGACATATATACTGTTGTTCTAATTTGTATTAACCACTGTAGTAAGTTCAAAATAGAGGTCCTAGCATCAGTATTTTGTCCCTCAGCTACCAGAGAAGCCAGATCAGAAACTGGGTTAAATCTCCACAAGCTCTCTCTGCACACAGTAAATCTCATTACCATGGTTGGTTATTTTCCAGACCTGCCAGTCCCCACTGTGGACAGTGACTCAACAACACTGGCCTTCCCTTTACTGCTCCATAAGCTCCATTCCTTTCATCTCAGGATCTTGTAATAGTTGTTCCATGCTGTCCTTCTGATTTTAGTAACAAGCTCTTAACATAGGAACTCGGTTTGGACCTCCCTGAGAAGCAGCTCCTGGTTAGCCTGAAATGTGCTGTGGGTGCTCTTCTGATGGGCAGGTCCTTTACCAATGTCTGTCGCTTGTCTTGGTAAATCACTGTCTGCTGGCACTGGATGTTAGCTCCATGGTAGCTTTTCCTCATCCTTTGCTTTCTCCTTGAGGTTGGAGTAGTGATTTTGTTCCTAGAAGGCATTCATTTAGTCTTTAGTAGTAAACTAATTAATATTATAGCCATATCCTGCCTGGAGACTTATGCCTCTGGAGATGCTCTATTGCATGGAAGACTTGCCAAAATCTTGTGCCTTATGGTAGTGTCTAACTATCCTTTATTAAATGTATTTTATTACTTTTTAAGCCAGGATTTTAATATGTAGCCCAGCCTGCTGGCCTGAAATCTGAAATCTCCCTGCCTTGACCTCCTGACTGCTAGGATTATAAATACTCACTATCATGCTCACCTGTATTTAGTGTTATCAATTGTGTTGTAAAGGGGACAATAAATAGACTCCTGCTTTGAAAATGAGACTGTAACTCGTACAGGTGACAGCTTTGTGACCTAGAGTGAATGCAGTGATTCTTTCTGTTAGTGACTGCTGAGGTGAGCATCGTGAGTATTCTTCAAATCATGTTGCTTTATTGATGCAAATTTCTTCTGGAATGACTTGGTGGGCGAACATAGGATCTCTAAATAAATAGCTAAGGTTGTTGTTTGTTTTGTTATTTACCCTTTTTCTCACCAAAGTTAGACTGCTATGGTATAATTTAATGTATAGGCATTGTGCATATTGTGAACCATTGTCTGTGCTATACAATTCAGGCTTGGAATGTTTCCTGTAGATGTTGGCAGTACCCACAGAGAACCAACTTCAGAGCACAGTGTTTTCATGATTATTTATTGAGGTCAGCCCTATTTTTGACACAGAATTGGGGGGACACCATCAGTTTACATTATTGGATATATGTATGTATTGGTGTGCTTAATAAAGATACATATAACATGACAGGATATTTAAGGGCAAAATTCAGGATGGATTTTTAAACACAAGGGGGAGGAAAGAAAAAGAGGCTACATTGTCAGTCATGTTTGGTACTTGAAAACTTCTAGATGGATCTGCAAACAACCTAGGAGACATTTAGAATTCCCACAATTCTTACAAATGTTAAAACGAATGGTTCTTGACAACAGCTTAGGAAAGTTTGAAAGTACAGATGTACGTATCTTTCTCAAAATCATAATTCCCTGATATAATTTTGCTAAGTATCCATGCTTTTCATGAAAAATAGCCCTCATAAATGCGGAAGACCTTTCATTTCCTCTCTTGTTTAATAATAATGCATAGCATTATTCTGTACTACAAATTCTTAGAGGTTTTTGTATTGGTTTTGACTTTGTTTTGAGAAAGCTTTTCACTATCTAGCCCAGGTTGGCCTTGAATTAGAAATCCTACTGCCTTGAACTAGAGGTTTTTGCTTCAGCTTGCCCATTGCTGATATTATAGGCTTGTGCCACTCTGCCCTGCTTTTGACCTGTTCTGGATCTAATGACTTGTCATTGAATACTTCAATGTTATACATTTTTCTAAACATTTCACGAACATCTTTCAATGTAGTTTTCTCATTTCATCAGCTTTCATAGAATGCTAGATTGAATTCTTGAATTGCAAGTGTTGCTTTTAGAAATTAGATGATGGTAGTGTTGTTAAATGTTCTGTTCCTGGGTTCCTTGCTAGTCTCGTTCATATTGGGCTAGTGGTTAGCAAACTTCTTTTTTTGTATGTATGTATTTATTTATTTAGCAGGAGTCTACCAAGGTTTTGCAGATCCAGTCATTTTTTTTTTTTTTTTTTTTTTTTTTTTTTGGTTTTT